TATACTTTTATTCATATATTTATATATATTATATGTTTTTATAAGTACATAATAAATATATTATATTTTAAACAGATATGTGACTTTAGACAATCTAAAATACATCCCATTCACAGTAGGGGAGAGTGTCAGGAGTCACAGTGTTGCAGCCCAGCATCTGCTGTGAGGCTTTCAGGAGACTTGGTGCTCACCTCCTGCACTTTCTATGCAGCCCTTCTCTTCTTTCACTGTGGTTGTCTCTGATCTCTGCTTATTCTCATGGAATTCTCTCTGGGCCTCTGTACCTGTTTTCTAAACATTTAACTTTGTGTCATATACTGTTTTGGTGTTGCTTATACTCATAATAGCCTAAATTGCTTACATTTCTAAAATCTGTTTCTTCTTTTCTCTTTTTTTTATCTTTTGGAGACATGGTTTCCCTGCAGCCCTAGGTGGCCTGGAACTTCCTATGTAGACCAGACTGTCTTGGCCTTGGTCTCACAGAGATGTACCTGACTCTTCCTCCTGAGCGCTGGGATAAAAGCATACACCATCAAACTCAGCTTAAAAATCATTTCATAACTGAATTTGGAAAGACTTTTTCTTACTGGATAAGGTAAAAAGTCTCCCTTTCCTCTCTCTCTTCTCTCCATTTACATCTCCCTCCCTCTCTCCTTCTTTTCCTCCCTCCCCTTCCTCCCTCTGAATACTTAAATCACATACAAACACACTAAGTTGTGTTTGGGTATTTTATTTTGAAACTCTGGCCTGGATTCTCTATGGAGACCAGGCTGGCCTCGAACTCACAGAGATTTGCCGGCTTCTGCCTCCATAGTGCTGGAATTAAAGGTGTGCACCACCACACACAGCCTCTTCTGAACATTTTGCAGAAACAAAAACTTGAAAATAAGTTGAGGGAGTCTGATGTTCTAAGATAACCAAGCGACATAGGGCAGAAGGCAGCAGGTAGCATGTACACTACTAAATGGCATAGACTGTGAGAATAGAGAGAAATAGGAAAAAAAAAACAAAAAAAAACCAAGACAAACCAGAAAAAACTATTTCCCTCACCAA